GGCTCTGTGAGCGCAAACCTGACGTTCCCTGGGGACCTCGGCCTTCTGGGGGTGCCTGTCCCCTGGCCCGGGGGCGTCTCCCCACCCGCTCCCACCTCCCCCGTCCCGAGAGGCCTGGCCATCAGGTGAGGTCCCAAACGTCCCAGGGACTCCTGCCCAGGGACTCCTGCCCAGCGCGGCTCCTGCCCCGTCTCCGCGTGGTTCCTGCCACCAGAGCACAGTCCTCAATGGGGGTGACGACAGAGGGGTCCCCGCGCGGGGTTGCTAGGCATCAAGACGAATCCACCGCGGAGGCGGCATGCAGGCCCCTCCATTCCCTGTCCCCTGTCCCCAGGTGTGGGCCTGGCGCTGTGTCACTGTCCCGGGAGCCGCTCTGAAGGCCTCCAGCAAGAGGACATGGGGTTCCTCTCCATCCGGTTCCCCTGCATCCAGGCCCTCGTGCGGGGAAGAGGGAAGTCTGGTGGCAAAACATTCTCCGCTTTACACCTCTCTGCCGGGAGCACCACTCTGCCCAGGTTCACCACGCAGCACCGGGGTCATCTCGGATCTCATGGAGCCCACAGGCCGGGGACACTCGGGCTGTGACCACCTGCAGCCCAACGGTCACCACCGACCCCAGTGGCAGAGAAACCCTTGCCCGGCCTGCGCTCCAGCCCGTGGCGCCAGATCTGGGGCTGGTCGTGCCGGCCCTCCAGGGACCAGGAGACCAGGCCGCGGGAGCGCAGAGCCAGGGAGACGGCGGCCACGGGTGGGCAGCGGGCAAGGGCCAGGCGCAGCCCCGGGAGGACACGCGCCCACAGAGGCCTGATCTGGCTCAGCCCCACAGATCCCACTGGACTGAAATGCCACAGGGCGAGAGAGGGACAAACAGGCAGAGCCCGGAGGCAGGAGGCCGAGGCCGAACGGCCAGTGAGAAACACAAGGCGGAGAGCGTGAGGAAGGCGGCTCGGCTGGACAGGGCTCGTGGGGCACCGAAGGGCCAGGGCCTCGAGCACCAGGCGGGGACTCGGGGACACGCCAAATCCAAAAGGCACAAAGGAAGAACCTGTGCATTCCTGTCCTACGGCTGCTGTAATCAAGTACCACACACCTAGTGACTTAGAACATCGTCAATTTATCCCATAGTTCTGGAGGCCCGGAGTCCCACCCGGATGTCACCTGGGAGGAACGTTCCTTCTGGACGTTCCTCCCCATGTCTCCTGCCTTTTCCAGCTTCTAGAGGTCGCGTCCTGGGCTCGGGGCCCCTTCCTCTCTGCACAGCCAGCAGCGCACCGTCTCCCGTCTCTCTCTGCCTCTCACCCTCCTCCTCCCTCTGATGAGGACCCTGTGATGACACTGGGCCCCGGGAATCCAGGGTCATCCCCAGCTCCAGATCCTGAACTTAATCCCATCTGCACAGTCCCTTTTACCCTGGAAAGCAGCATATTCACAGCTTCCGGGGATTAGAACGTGGACATCTTTGGGGGACGCTATTCAGTCTACCACAAATGCCACGTGAAGACTCCAACATGCAAAGAAATAAGTAACAGCCGCCATGTCCCCCAGCCTGGAGACTGCTGCTGCGTGGTGCGCCTCGGCAAGACGAGCACACTGCCTGCAATCCTCAGACACGAGCAGAGTTTCTAGAAAACCAGAAACAGGGCCGAGCTGCACACAGTGGTCTGCAGCCCCCGTCCTCCCCTCAACTTGAACAGACGTGGACGGCGCCCGGGTCACAGAGCATGAAGAGCCGCCATCCTCGGGTCGCAGAGCGTTATGGCTCTCACGGGACAGCCAGTGGCCCGAGCGATGCGGACAGAAGCTGGTCCTGGTTGTCTGCCCCCGAAAGGACCTTGGCCTCATCTTCACGATGGCCCAGGAGTTCCTGCAGCTGGGTCCCGACAGGCGGGACCTCCAGGTCATGAGGACGATGCCTCGTTATGTCCCCAGACGTCAGTGGGGGGGCTGCAAGACGAGCCAGGAGGCATGAACCGCACGCTTGGCTGCGTGACAGCCCGGGAGGTCCTATCACCCAGTGCCCCGTCCCCGTGCCCAGGGGAGCTAAGCACGGGGAAAGCCAGGCTTGGCTAATCCCAGAGCTAGCGCGCGCCGCCCCGGGGACCACGACGATCAGGGCCACACGGGGCTCATGGCGCCGGCCCACAGAAGCCTCTCCTATGCTGCATGAATAGGCCACGTGGGGCAAACCCTGGTGAGTACCGTGGTCTGAGTCACCACCTCCGAGCAACTCTCAACCGAGGGGGCTGTCCTAGCTCAGAACCCCATCCTCCCTCCTAGTTCACGACACTCCCGGAGGCAGCGCCCCGATCGCCTTGACGTCACAGCAGGGCCCCACCCCAAGCCCACGACAGCAGGCGTCTTTTATTAGCCGGTACACGTCACCCGTTTGTGCTCACAGACATAAAAACGGGTGTCTAGGTGTGGTTTTTCGTTTTTTTCTTTTTTTACAGTGTAGGAAAAAGCCACCAGACCTGCAAAAACAGACCCAGCAATATGTTGAGGAAGAAGACATCCTTACAACTCAGTAAAGAAAGGAACAAGCAAACAGCTGGGGGTGGGAGGAAGGTGGGGAGAGAAGCCCAGCTCACAGCTCATCCGGGCCCCGCCGGTGAGCACGGCAGTCCCTTCCACCCGGCGCTGTCCGGCTCAAAACGGAACCCGTGCAGCCCTCCGCTCAGATCCTGCTTGGAATCAGGAATAGGTTAAGTGGGAACTGTTCTGAGACGTTTCTTCCGAGTCACAGGAACCCTCACACACGGCTGGTGGGAATGTGAGCTGGGGCAGCCGCGTGGAAAAGTCTGGTGGGTCCTCAAGCGGCTAAACACGGAGGTTCCATCTGACCCGGCAGCTCCACTCCTGGGTGTCCACCCAGGAGAAATGAGGACATGTGTCCACACAGAAAGTTGTTCATGAATATTCATAGCAGCATCATTCATAACACCCAAAAAGTGGGAAGACCTAAACGTCCATCGATGATGAATGTATCCACACAACATGTCCACCCACACACTGGAGTACGAGGCAGCCATGAAGAAGAGTGAAGCCCTGACACAGGCACACTGTGGACGGACCCTGAACACACGACGCTCAGTGAGAGAACCAGACACAGAAGGACACACGGTGTGTGATCCCCTTGATGTGAAATGTCCAGAACAGGCACATTCACAGACAGAAAGTGGGTTCGTGGTCGTCAGGGGCTGGGGAGGTGATGGGAGTGACTGCTTAATGTACAGGGTTTCTCTATGGGGTGATGAGAATGTTCTGGAATTAGATAGTGGTGATGGTTGCACACATACTAAAAATCACTGAATTGTCTACGTTAAAGGGTGACTATTACGGTATGTGAATTATATCTCTATAAAAATTAATTCTTACAAAGTCCAAGGCAGCCTAGTTGGGACCTGCCAGACCAGAGGAAGTCCATCTGGTTTGTCTTGAGGACTCTGACCTCCTTGAACGCCCGAGGCCTTTTGAAGAAGAAGCCCATAATCTCTTTCATTTGTCTCCCACAACCCCCCAGAGAATGTTCTCGCACCTTCCAGACCCTGTGCTCGGTTTCTCCAGCTGTAAAATGGGTTGGTTGATCGAGGGAGGTGATAAGTCAGGAGAACCTCAGCACTCTTGTGAGGGATTACTAAAAATTAAGTGCTCAGGGCAAGCTTTGTACTCAGAAGGTGTCACACTGATCTGAGCCCGAAGAGAGTAAGTGACTTTTAGAGAATTGACCGTCTCGGAACGAAGCGCGAGCTTTAAGGACAGAGGCAACTCTTTAGAAGGCACAGTCAGAGATGACCATCTCCAAACCAGTCCATCCGGCCCCGCCAGGAACAAGCTAGCCTAGACCGGGGGTGGCACACCTTCTCTGGACAGGACCACAGAGTAAATATTTTCAGCTTTGCAGGCCACACAGTCTCTGTCGCAACCACTCAGGTCTTCCACTGTGAGGAGGGAGCTGCCAGAGACAACACGTAAATGAATGGATGTGGCTGTGTGCCAATAAAACTTTATTTACAAAAACAGACGGTTGGCCGGATTGCTCCATGGGCCACAGTTTGCCAGGCCTGGGCTCAGATACATGAAGTCTATGCTTTAAGGAACAAAACCTTTACTTCCCCCTTCCAAAGGGGCACCTGGGCTCCACTGCGCAGCTCCCTGAGTTCCTAAGTCATGGCAGAACAGAAAAGGCCACGTTCTAGTCCACACTTGGCCCTCATTAGCCACGAGGCCTCAGACAGGAGCCTTCGTCCAAGATCAACACTGAACACGAGGCAGCCTTTCTCGGGCCACCAGAAGCAGTCAACGTGGGCCAGCCAGGGAGCACACGGGATGTTCACCCACAATGACCGAGGCGCCCCCGCCCCATGGGTGTGAGTCGGGAGGTGACTAGGTTGTTCCCTCTTTTCTTACGAGTGATCACCTTGGGCCACCATCGGAGGTCAGCTCTGTCAAACCCTCTGTCCCCGGTTTATTAGGAAGGTGCAGGAGACGGTAGACACCTGGGTTGGGCAACGAGATTCTCTTAAAAGCATTCTAACACTAGTCCTCTATTTTTAGAGACACCCCCCCCCCCCGATGTGACTGGTCACCGCTTCCAACAGGGCGTGGGGTGGCCTGAATATGCCCCTCGATGAGCCCAGAAGTGGCGTCCCACCCAGGGCCCAGTCCACACGACACAGACAGGGCAGCTCGTCCTGGGCGATCCTGGCATCACCTGAAATGCACAGTGGTTCTCAGGGCTTCTAGAAGTGAGGGCCAGGCGTTCAGACACTGAAGGGTGGCAGTATGGACTGGGGAAGACACGTCCAGCAGAACCGCACCCAGAGGAGTCCAGGCTCCTCCGTCCAAGGGCGTCTGGACCCTGCACACCCCAGAACTCAGAACCAAACAGGGGCCAGCTTCTCCCACCAGCGTGCAGACCTGACAGCCAGCCCGGGAGGAGGCTGCGGCCTTCAGGGCCTCGGTCTCGTGCGGCCACCTGGGCCCAGGACCCAGGCACTTACTTTGAAGTTCCTGGTATGGCCCGGGTAGCCGAGGCTGCGATGAGAGATGCTCCAATAACCGGTGAGGGTTTCTGTTGGGTTCCAGCAACAGTGATGGTTCCTAAAATGCACAAGATACAAGCTCGATTAACTAAATTAATTGCATGCTTAAGTCTTCATTCCGAATCACACCCCGACCCTGCTGCGTGGAGCCTGAGAACACTCGCCTTCATTCAGACCTTCCCAAATCCTCGCCACCCAGCAAGAACACGAAAATCCATAAAGATAAGCATTCTCCCCATTAACGTCTTCCAGTGACTGCCCACTGGAGGCTCAGCTCCGAAAAACCAGTAGCTGAGGAAGCCAGAGCCTCCATGACACAATCAATTAAACCAAAGAAGCTTCTGGAAACCTTAAGGTACAGTCAGCGACTACGAAGCTGACGAGAAGTTCTGCCTCCTCTGAAACCCCACAGCCAGAGAAGGCGCCCTCAAGGAGGAAAGTCGTATGGACACCACCACATGGCGGCCGCCATCTACACCCCGGGAGGCAGAGAGCACAGGGAGAGGGCCTGGCAGGGGCTGCGCAGACGCCGTCGAGGAGGGCAGGGTCCCGACCGGTGAATTTGCAGATGGGCACAGGGACACTCCAACACTTGTTGAATAGAGGCAGTACAAGACGCCCAACTTTGGGCGTGGCCCCAGGACCTTTGACAATCCAGCTGCCGCCGCCCCGACTCGCCCACCCTCCTCAGCCATTATCTTATTTTAATCTGGTTTTTAAAATTACTGGACGTGACCCATTAAATTGACGTCACTGTCTTTGAAGGTCACAGCCCCTGGGCTGACAGACCACAGCGAGCTGTGGAATTACTGGCCCTCGGCTGCGCGCATCCTCTCCTGGGCTAGGCGCACTGCCGACGGCTCCCCGCACCAGCCCAGCTGAAGCCTGCCCGCTCCACAGCCCTGCCCTCGGTAAGACCTGGAGTGCCAGGATCTGACTACCCGGAATCTGTGCACGTCACCGTGGCCGGCAGAGTAACGGCCCCCAGGATGCCCCTGTCCTAATCCCCACAACCCGGGACTACGCGCTCTTCCCCGGCAAAAGGGGCTGCCTGCGCAGAGGGATTAATGACCCCGAGATGGGGGAGGACCCTGGGTTATCAGGGGGCCCAGTGTCATCACAGGGTCCTTAGGAGAGGGAGGAGGAGGGGCAGAGGCAGAGAGGAGACGTGAGGTCAGAGGGAAGCCCTGTGCAGAGGGAGGGAGGGGCCACCCGCCCAGCATGCGGCGCCTCTAGAAGCTGGCGGGGGCCAAGAGCCTCCAGGAGGACCCAGCCCTGCCCACAGCCGGAGTGTCGCCCCGGGAGAGCTGTGTGGACGTCCGGCCTCCAGAGCTGTGATGATACACATGTTGTTCTAGGTCACGGAGCCTGTGGTCGTCTGTCACGGCAGCAGGGGGAGCTGACATGGCAGCTGCGACGCGCACGTCCCCAATTCCAGGGGCGGTGGGGCTCTCTCCACCGGCCGTGAGGCCTCTCTGCCCTGAACCGCCGCCTCTGTCTTTTGGTCACATCTCGGCGGGATCACGTGTCTCCCTTGTCACTTGTCACTGTCCCTTTGTCCCCCTCTGGACACGGGCCACCCCCACCAGCACGTGCTCTGGAAGGCGGAGCGACCACCACAGCCCAGGGTTCTCAGCGGGACAGACCCCAGGCTGCCGCCGCCCACGGCTGCCGGGTCAGCGGACTGTGGGTCCTCCCACTCTCGTCCTCTGGGGATGACGGCACTGACCCCAAGCCAGGAGGCTGGACCCTCTGGGGCTGAGGTCAAGGCCCGGTGCTCCGTCCACCCTGATCCATGTCCACCACGGACAAGGGGCCAGGCTCGCCCACCTCTACTGCTCCTTCAGGGGCTGCGGGCCCCCACGGCCAGCTGGACGCCACTCCCAGCTCTGGGGTGCCGGGATCGGGACTCAGACCCGGCCCCAGGCCCACTCGGCACAAGGCGGCCAGGGCTGAGAGACCAGAGGGCCCTCCGTGTGGGCTGTGCTGAGGGACAGTGTGGAAAGGGGAAGGAGAGACGTCACAGTGGGGACGCCTAACCAGCACCTCAGCCAGGGGACCACAGTCTACTTCAGCAGGGACAAGTCACGTTGGCAGCAGGACCCTGAGATGCTGGGGTGAGGAGGGTCCTCCTCCCGGAACCCGCCACCCAGCCCAACAAGGAGAAAATACCAGACAAATCCCAACTGGGGGACTTTCTACAACGTCCTGCCCGGTCCTCCCCAAAACCGCCAAGGTCACAGAGACAAGAAGGTGTGAGAACCCATCCCAGCCCAGGAGCCTAAGAGACGTGACGCCTGTGTGTCATGTGGGGTCCTAGGACAGAAAGGGACATTAGGGAGAAACTGAGGCAACCTGAGCAAAGGATGGACCGTAGTTAGTAAGGACACACCACATCGGCTCACTCATGGGGACGGACGTCCCGGCCGAATGGAGGATGGTAATCTCAGAGAAACCTGATGCTGGGTGGAGGAACGCTCTCAATTTCTCTGTAAATCTAAAACTGTTTAAAAAATAATGTCTAAGTAGTTTTTTAAAAAAAACACAAACCGAAAAGGCCCAGGCAGGCTGGGTTTGGTGACCTCACAGGGGGCCCCGGGATACCTGGGGTGCTAACAACAGAACTGGCGTCAGAGCCTGCGGGCTGACCCGAGGCATCAGACATGGAGGACGCCCCTGAAGGCGCAGTCTGCCCATTTCTCCTTTAAAGAGGCGCAGTCTGGGGGCCGGCCCCGTGGCTTAGCGGTTGAGTGCACGCGCTCCGCTACTGGTGGCCTGGGTTTGGATCCCGGGCGCGCACCGACGCACCGCTTGTCCGGCCACGCTGAGGCCACGTCCCACATACAGCAACTAGAAGGATGTGCAGCTGTGACATACAACTACCTACTGGGGCTTTGGGGAAAAAACAGGAGGAGGATTGGCAATAGATGTTAGCTCAGAGCCGGTCTTCCTCAGCAAAAAGAGGAGGATTAGCATGGATGTTAGCTCAGGGCTGATCTCCCTCACACACACAAAAGAAAAACAGAGGTGCTGTCTGACTCGCAGACGCCGAGCCGAGGATGCTGACAGAGGTGGCAGGCCCGGTGGCTTCCTCCTCTGCCCCCTCTGCAAGGGCAGCCAGCGGGGCCGGGCGGGAAGAGCCAGCTGTCCCCAAATGCTGAGGCACCAGGGCCGGCCGCTGGTTGGTGGCGTCTCTGGGGACCCCACAAGCCTGGCCATCCCCGGGCCCCTGGTCCCGTCAGCTCTCTGCCGTCCAGGCAGGGCTGACCTTCGGTTGGGGTCAGAGGCTGGGCCCGCACCAGCGCACACTGCCCACTCTTCCCTGGGGTCCGAGAGACGGAGAGCTGACCGGGCGTCCTCTGGGCCCGAAAGGCAGGGAGCCCCTCACTGTTCTCTCGGTCACCTGCCCCGGGAGGGCTCAGCGCCCCACTCCGCCTGCTCCTCACGCAGCCCTCGCCCGGCGTCTCCTGCCGCCCAGCCCAGCCTGCAGGTGTCTGTGTGCCCCTCACGGGGCAGGGAGGCCACCCCAGGCCTCGGAAGGACCCACTGACTTGAACACTATCGGCCCATCAGTCTGAACTCGTGGGTTTTTGAAATATACACATACAGACAGCCAAACAGAGAAACAAACACAGACGTGCACTTGCGCACAGGCTGGTGTTCATGCTGCCAAGCTCTGTCGACAGACAGGTCTGAGAGGCCGTGACCCCCCCAGCACCGATCGTCCCCGGCCCCAGATCAGGGTTTTAAATCCCTCTCCAACCTAAGGGACCGGGCTCCGTGGAGAGGCGGTCAGCTGCGGGGCCGGGGCGGGGAACTGACCAGACGCACCCGAGCAACTCGCGGGGGCAGAGGATGCGGACGTGCAGGAGGGACACAGGGGCAGCGGACGGAGCCCCGACGGCCAGAGCGAGGACGACGTGGGCCACACTGCAAAGAGTGACATCCTGGGCTGCAGCCACGGGAGGAAACAAACGCACACGGGTCTTTACTGGGACAACACTAACAAGGTGGCGTGAACGGGGCAGGGACCGCTGTCTTCCACAGAGCATTCGTGGATGGAGAGGGCGTGAGGTCAACAGAAGGCAAAGAGAACAGCACAGCACTGACTGTTACAGGGAAGGTCCACAGGCCGCAGTCTGGGGGCAAACGGGGTATGTGCAGGCTCTCCGAGTCCCAAAGGGAGAAGCAGCCACCTTCCAGGGGAGCCCCCTGGCCGGCCCCCCTCACCAAGGGATCGAGGTGGACACCACGGGCATGAGACACAGCAGACAAGGACACAGCACCGCCCAGGGGCAGCCTTCCCAAACGCATAACCTGCGTCTCATCTTGACGGAACATCAGACAAAGCCAAGTGGAGGAACTTTCTAGAAAATTTCTGGACATGTCAAGGTCGTGACCCACAAGGAAAGACCAAGAAACGGTCCCAGCCCAGACAAGGCTGCAATGTGACGGCTAAATGCCATGTGGGGTCCCGGGTGGGGGTCCTGGGGCAGAAAAGGGACATGAGGGACTGGTGGAATCCTCATCAAATCTATCATTTGGTAAATATTATTCCTCTGTGTTCCTGGCTCAGCGTGGGTCATTCTTCCGCAGTTCTGGCCGGTGGACTATCAGAGGAAGGCGGCTGAGAGGTACACGGGAACGCTCTGTGCTGTCTCTGCAACGTTTCAATGAGTCTAAAATTATTTCCAAATAAAAAGTCAAAAAAAAAAAAAAAAAGCAACCTCTCCCTGCGTCCTCTGAAGCTCAGCGCACAGCAGGCTTTAGCGGGAAGAGGAGGGTCAGGCCGAGAAAAGATCCAAACTGGTGAAAAGAGAAAAAGCTAGTTGACCCCACACTATGATCTTGTTTCAGGATCAATTATTTAAAGACCCAAGCTGCAGGCGAGCCTCAGATCCCTCCCGCTGGGAAGCTTGGTCCCTGGAGACCACGGGGGCCCTGGGGACGAGCACAGGCCCCGAAGCCCGGTGCCGGCCCCGCCGTGTGACCTGGGGCACGTTCCTAACCAGGCCTCAGTTTCTTCATCTGTAAAGTGGGGGTCACCGTATT